TGTCTTTGGGAGTGTATGAGGGGCTGCAGACATGAAAAGGTCATTCAGCTGAGGAAGCAGCTGGGCTGTAACTCACAATGTTTCTTCAGACAACCATAACAGATGCAGTGAAAATGGTCTCTTCAAGAAGAATGGGAGGTATATGGGCTTTGTAAATAATCTTATAGGCAGATGCCTTTCCCAGTGATCTCAATCTCAATTAAAAAAAAAAAAAAAAAAAGATTCTGAAGGAAAAGAGCTCAAGTACAGCAGAGCATGATGCTTCATTGGGGATTTAGACTCACCAGAGTATCAGAGAGTGAGACAGTAGAAAGAGGAGGGTGGACAAACTGCATGGAAGAGGAGTAAGGTTTGTTCCCACGTTAAAAGATATTTATAGGAAATTCAGATGAGACTTTAAGCTTAGAGAGACAAACCTTTTTGGTGAGCTGGCAGGCAAAGAAGGGCTGAAAGCTGAGAATTGGTTCAGTAGAGTAAACTCTCCACAGAGCTGAAGAGTTGCTAAGTGAAAAGTGTGACATTGATTCAGGATAGGACTACTTGGGTAACGCTGAGGGCAGATGAATATGATGGGTTAATTTGACAGTAGCACCAAGGTGGCCAGGCATGCAAGAGACTCTCTGGATACTGAGACTGCTACAACCTTCAGCAGGTACTGTTTGATTAAATACATTTAAATGGACCATATTCGTTGAGTTAAAGAAAAATGATTTTTTGTGCCATCTAGAAACTCCTTCTGTTCTTTCCTTATCCATGCTTTATTGGTATTTTTCTTTCTATAGATTTGCAGGTATACTTTGCAGCTCCCTGAAGCCATGCAGTCTTGGAGTCATATATTACCGAAGCTAATGGCACTGTTGCAGTCAGAGGGCTTAGTAAAAACAAAAGGGGCTCAGGGCAAAAGCTGACTGTGAAATGTGAACTCATGCCACAAAAAGGCAGTGGAAAAGCTGGAAAAGCATGTGGCTGCAGGCAGGAGGTGGAACAGAGCAGATCTTTGCTAACAAGTTATTGAACAAATCATTCTCTAGTAAAGATATTGTTTACTCAGCTCCAGAGATGAGAAAACACATCAGAAGGAGGCAGCGAGCTAGAAGCCAATGAGTTTTTGCACTGACGGGAATCATGGATTCACAGCATGGACAGGGGAACTCCAAGGATCATCTGGTCCAGCCCTCCTGCCCAAAGCATGGTCAGCTGCAGGCAGGTTGCCCAGGTCAACACAGCTTCTTTAGGCAACCTGTGCCAGTGTCTGACTATCTTTACAGTAGAATGATTTTTGTGTTCGGATAGAATGTTCTGTTTTGGTTTGTGTCCATTGCCTCTTGTCCTGTCACTGGGCACCACTGAGAAGAGTATGGGTCCCTCTTCTTCCTCCCTCCCATGAGGTATTTATACATGTTGATGAAATCCTCCTGAGCCTTCTCTAGACTAAACAGTCCCAGCTCTCTCAGCCTCTCCTCATATGAGAGATGCTCCGGTCCCTTAATAATTTTAGCAGTCCTGCACTGGGCTCACTGCAGTAGTTCCACATCCCTCTTCTGAGGAGCCCAGAACTGGACACAACAATCCAGGTGTCCCAACGGTGCCTGAGCAGGGAGAAGAATCATCTCCCTCGACCTGCTGGCAATACTCCTTCTAATGCAGCCCAGGGGGTTCCTGGCCTCCTGCGCAGCTGATGGTCCATGTTCAATTTAATGTCCACCAGGACCCCCAGGTCCTTCTCTGCAGAGCTGTTTTCCAGCTGATCAGCCCTCAGCTTGTACTGGTGCCTGGGGTTATTTCTCCCTAGGTGCAGGACTATGCATTTTCACCTGCTGGACTTCATGAGATTCCTCTGTGCCCATTTCTCCAGTCTGTCCAGGTCTGTTCGGTGTGTGAGTGACATAAAGAAGGGGAAACAGAGAGGGAGAGAGACAAAATACAGAAATTTTATGAAAAGTTAATCTAATCTGTTTTCCAGTTTACCATGGTGGAAAATCCCTGGAGAAGAGGAATAAAATATGTCAGTTGGACGGGAGCTACACTGATCATCTAGTCCACCTGCTTGACCAATTCAGGGCTGACCAAAAGTTAAAGCAAATTATTAGGGGCATTGTCCAAACACCTCTTAAACACTGACAGGCTTGGGACATCGACCACCTCTCCAGGAAGCCTATTCCAGTGCTCTCAAGTTAACTCAAACTCAGGTTTTCAGTTTTGGGTTGGTTTTTTGTTTTTTTTGTTTTGGTTTTGGGTTGTGGGTTTTGTTTTTTTTTTGTCTTGAAGAACTAGTAGTTAGTTATCCTTGAAAATGCCATGGTGCTTTTCGCCTGTGGCTTCTCCTGATGCTATTCTGTGGGATCCAACTTGTTTCTACTCAGACCTATCCTGACAAGAACAGGTGCAACTTAGCTGAAATCACAATGACTATACAGTTCCATATGTCACTGCTGAATGGCAAAAAATTAATAGCATCTAGTAAGCTACAAAGCAAAACCAAATGTGTGGTTTCAGTTACCTTTGCTACTTTGTGCAGTGTGAAATACACTTTTTGCTCTTGTGAAGTTTGACAACAGCTCATTGCACAAAGCCAATGGGTTTTCAACAGTCTGTATTTAATATTAAATGTCTTTATATATGCAAGCATAAACTAGTAAATGGGAAACATATTGCTGGGAACAAACACCCATCTCACCCTGTGGTCTCCTCACCAGTTTTGATCAAATTCCTACATTTGCAGAAAAGGAAACAACAAATTTACAACTTTGTCAGTAAGATAAGATAGTGGAATGGTTGCTCCATCTTGATTTACAGTTCATATATTTTTATCTACCAGTCAGTGCACAAATACATTCTGTTACAGGTTTGGGATTTGGAAGAGCTTTCAGAAAGGAAATAATGTTTCCTGATCCCTTTTAAGTAGTTAACTCTTTTCCCAAGGCCTATCACCAATTACAGTGAAAAGTGAGTTACAGGAAATTTTCATCTAGTTGAGTAAAATATTCCAGAGACTACATATATTCATCAAACCAGTTTGGCTCAGAAAACCTGCAGGCTTTATTAGTAAGTTCTTTGTAAGGAGCTAATCACCACTGTTAAATCATTACCACTTACCCTACTGTAGGTTCACTTATAAATGAAAACTCCGACTCCAGCATTATCTGTATGTTGTTTGGCACTGAACAGCTGTTTCTAATGATTATATTTACACTGGGCTTTCCAAATTTATCTTTTAAAGCCCATGTAGTCAATGGCAGAATGTGTCTCGTTGATGCTTGACAGCTCAGCAGGAAGGTATTTGCAGCAAATCTGGTCGGGAGGTCTTCTGCAGCTCCCTAACCCGCTGGCCTGCTGGGCAGTAGCACCGTGCGTGGGGAGAGCAGCCACCTGTGCTCCTGCTAAGACCGTCTCATCACCTGGAGCAACGCGTGCTGTCACGCCAGCAGCAGAAATGGCAGTGACATTTCCATACCCTTCCTTGGGTCTCTCCAGTGACTTCCTTCCTGCCATGAGAGCAAAATTTGCATGGAGTTGAGTGGTAGGACTGGCCTGTGCTCACATAGTGCAGTAAGGACAGCAAGGAAACACCGCACAGTGGGGCTGCAGTCCTAGCAGGTCACATGTGGCATTTCAAACCACTTCTTTGATTGTTTGCCTTGATTTAATTCACAGCTGAACACAGGATCCTGTTCTCAATGCTGCTAGTTATTTTACTACAGAAATTGAGGGCTGGGTTACATTTTGGGCAGGGGGAAATCATAACCCGTATGATGGCGTCGCAAGGAGGAGTGAGATTGTGACACATTATCCATTTCTCATCCCTGCATCTCTGGCCTCTCCTTATGCTGATCGTAAAAGAGGCAGAGCCACTGCTTTTTTTCCGACCCGTCTCTACCTACCCTCTGAAGGTAACCTTGAACCTTCTGAGGGTCAGAGCACAGGCCTGCCTGGCCTCTGATTACACAGATCCTTGTGACCCCTCTCCACCCCAGCATGCATTATGAAATTACAGGACAAAATTTGGCCCAGAATGTCCTCACCAGTACAAGCAATTTCTGCTGTCCCTGTGCATGAGTACAAACATCTTGTGCCTAAAGGACCGTTTAGGAGCTATTCAGTTGCTAGCTGTAGTTGTTGTATGCAGATCTTTTAAAAGAAACTGCTGGTTTGTAATGGTATCCAGTAAGAATAAGCTACAGTATCAACAGTGGTATTTGTATAAACCAATCAAGGAATTCAACTCAGAAGCCAAAGTTTTCAGATTCTGCAGTGGTCCCTACCTTTCCCTCGTCTATTTTTGGAAAGCTGAGTTGGTTTTTTTGTATAGCGGTGGTATTTGTAAGAATAAGCTACAGGATCATGTGTGGTATTTGTGATTCAGCAGCAAAAGCTGCTCCCAGGAGGAACGACTTATTGGGCAAATGAGACGTAACGGGGTCCAAACATACCTCCACACATTCAGCAGTGAGCATTGTTATTGTAGTTGCTTTACTGAGTTAAACAAAGAGACTCAAAAACTGAAATACAGAGACTTTATACAGAACAAGTTGGGAGTACAGATAAACAAAAGCAACATTCTTCAAGAAATGGATTTTAGCTGTGTTTTATAAACATCAATAAATACTGAAAAAGATGTGAAATTTTTTTTAAAAAGAAACAATATCAACAACTTTAAAATTGTCCTAATCATCATTTAAGCTGATTTTTTTATACTTTTGCAATTGGGATTTAATCCAGAAGTCTTTATCTAATTAAAAAAGGGGAAAGAAAAGTAGTCAGCATATTACTGATACAAAACCAGGGAAGGGGTCACAACTATAGCAGAAAAATGGCACATCCAGTTAGAACTGTATTACAGTGTGGCAGGAATACTCTTAATGAACATCATACATGAGTGAGAAAAAGACAGCATCATTACTACAGGCATGAAACGATGATCAAGTGTCATTATCCGTTGTCCAAAATGAAAAAGAACATTAGTAAAAGGGGAAATGAAAACTAGAAAAGGAAAGAAAAAAAAATAAAGAAACTTTAAAAGCCACCTCTTCATAATAGTCTTCTAAGGCAAATGTTGCATGCACTACCTCCCCAAGAAACTAGACAAAGCTCTTCCATTCCCCATGCGTTTCCTTTCATTTAGTTTCATGAAGAAAGGTTTGAGAGAGCAGAGCGCTGGGAAGAAATACTACAAACCTCTAAATTAGTGAAAGAACTTCCAGCATCACTATTATATTCTGGGTAGGAAGAACTGGAAGAAATTATGTTTTTCAGCCTCTGAAGTGCAATGATCAATAGCAAAAGGAGAAAAGCTAAAAGACTAAGGAATATAGAAACATAGACATAGACGTTGGATAAACGGCCAGGTGATGAATCTACTGAAGTTGAAAGGGATGTGGGATACAGCTCCAGAAAAGTCCCGTTTTCCATATTTCCTACAAATCCAGATGAAGGGTCGGGTTCTGACATTTTTGCGTTTGTGTTTTAAAAATCACAACAGATCTTGGATTCAAAAGCAGTTTTAGCAGCATAACAAAGGGTTTATTTTAGGCAACCATTTTTCCATCACAATGAAGAGATGAAAAGTCTGGCAGTGATCAAATTTTCCTTTGTCCAGGACAATGTAAGATTGTATCTTTCACAACTGCAAGGGGAAAAAAAAAAAAAAAAAAAAGCAAGATTAATTTACTAGCAGATAATGTGATTTAAAGTGCACCTGATACAATCTAGTTTTTAAGAGTTACGAGTTCTTATTCATTAGTACTAAGCTGAAATTCTTAAAGTATTAGCTAACAACTATATTTATTTCCCAAAATGCAGGGATTAGAAGACATCCTACCCACTGATGAATTAAAACTGACCTTTCCCCACCATGAGTTCCTTAATGGAGGAACAGCACAATCAAAAATATACTTTATATGGGACAGACATTGGAATCCAAATTTGTTTTGTGGAAAAAAATCTAGTCAAGGAATGAAAAATCCTTCTCAAGACCTCAGCTCCTCAACCTAGATAAGCAAGGCAGCTCAGCACCGTGAGGGATGGCAAATCCATTAGCCAATTACTCCACACTGTCTTGCCAGAGGTACCCAGAAAATCTGCCAGACCTGATCCCTTACCATAAAATTTATAAAATTGATCAAATGGTTTCAAAGATCAAAATGCATCTCGCTGCAATGCTGCCATGGGGACCTCAATGGCAGGCATGTTTTAGTGAAGTGTTGTAGCTTCTGACTGCAAACCCAAGCATTTTACAATTTTATTCAAAAATGTAACAAGCAAAATCCTAAGGAAACAGGCAGCCTTGGCAGCTCAGCAAATGCGAGGGACTATTTAAGGGCAGCAAACACTAACAGGGAAGAGATCCCATCTTTGAAAAAGCTTTGCTTCCAGCCACTTAGTGTTGGAACCTGGAAGCACAGGTGCTGGCAAAGGTCAGAGTGGCACAGGACAAGCAGATCAGGATATGCTAAGCTGCTTTTCTTTAAACGAATGTAGTTAGTCCCCAGGTGCAGTCTGGAAGCTTAACAGAAGGCTTGGTGATGGGGAATTGCTTGTAAAAAGCTGATGTGCTGTAGCTGAATTACATGGCGTAACTCATTGCCTCCGTTTCAATATAAAACAGATAATGCAAGGTGCAAGTGGCTAGGAAATGAAGCTAATTTTCTGCATATAATCATACACATGCAATCTTTCTATTCATCCATCCATGGTCAACCTCTCACTGCAGATACTCAGGCACCACAAGGAAAGGCAGCAAGCTTTCCTCCCAAAAAGAAGTGAATAACCATACAGAACTACACTCCCAGCATCTCATCCTGACCTTGCTTTTGGCCTCATCCTGTGGTCCCAATTCAATACTATTATCTCTAACCCACAGTTAGAGGCTTTGAGGAAAATCCCACGGATTTTCATGGTGATCGAGAGCATCAGCATCAGACAGAGAGACAGAATCAGGCCCTTGAAGTAATGATGCACCAGTCTGGGGTCTCTCCTTCTGTATGTCACACAACTGCCAAGTGTCTCTGTGTTTCCATCAGAGTGTCTCAGCACTGTTCCCAGCAATGGTCTGCCTTATAATTTTTCCTTTAAACATGCTACCTCTGCTAACTTAGTAAAGTACCTCTTTCTTCAAGAGGCTGACAATTTTTGACACTAGGTGTCACCACAAAAGCCCCAGCCTGAACTAAAGATGCTTAAGAAGGGTAAGGTACTTTTCTGCTGGTGCTGTTTCTTCTCTGAGAACACAGAAGGCTTGCAGACACCCACTGAAAAATGCTAAGAAGTTTGCTTTGCAGCCACTGAAATTATTTGCATAGTTACCCACTGCTCTTCTGCACTGTAAATTACATGTAGGAAGTTATTCTATTGTGGCAATGTGTTCTCCCCCACCCCAACCTTGCCCATAACCCTGCTCAAGTGCTAACCACCAGTGGCGGTCGTAATGGATGTGTCTGGTTGTGATGGCTGCATCCCGCCCAAAGTGGATTCGGTGGAGACAGATGACACAATAGCTGAGGGCTAGTTGAGCATTTGCCAGCGAAAATACAGCTGGTATGCAAATGTGACTGTAAGTCCATCATCCTACTCAATAAATAGTGGACAGCCCAGAGCCTGCTGAGCTCTCCTGCACAGCAGCAGGCTGCACACCAATATCTCCCCTTGAGCAGAGACCCCTCTCAAGGTTCCTCCTCAAGACTGAGAGATTCCTTGCTGCAACACATTCTCGGTAAGTGATTAATAGCATGCTAAACTTTGAAATCCTAACTAAGTGATATAAAGGATTGATTGTGCACATATAGAAGCCTTTAGACGTAAGCCATTCCCTGAGTCTTGGACTAGGACTGGATCCTAGGATCCAGCTCTAAAAAAGTCCCATTTTCCATGCTTCCTACAAATCCAAATGAAGAGTTCAATTCTGACATTTTTGGGTTTGTGTTTTAAAAATCACAACAGATCTTGGATTCAAAGGCAGTTTTAGCAGCATAACAAAGGGTTTTAGGTGACAGTTTTTCCATCACAACTTCTCTAAACTGAGGAGTTTAGAATGCAAGGGGGTTCTTTCTGAACCTCGTGACTCAACAGGAGGGTCTCCCTGACAGTTTTATCTGACCCTGTCCTCTATGCAGTTAATATTCAGGTGTACTTTGCCATTGAATCTTGTTAAACCACTGTCACATTTACCAGTGAACTTTATTAACTCACTGTCTTATATCAATAAAACACATTGTTGCTTCTCTCTTAGGAGTGAAGTGCATGACTTCATCCACCATAGCTACATGTTGTAAAAAGCCCTAAGTGCCTGAGTAAACAAGGACTACATTAAGCGCTAGGTAGAATCTAATGCTATGTTTTTAAACATTATTTTATTTCCTATACCTCAGAACTACATCTATACTGCTACATAAAACAGCTCAAGGCTATTCTCTGGTCTAAGAGGACAACTTGTGTGGCACACTGCATCAAGATGACTAAACTCACTTTTATCCCCCTGGACAGGATTGCCAAATCACAGCTGCCTTTGGGAATGAATAATGGACAAGCCTAACCCCAAATGTGTCCAGGAATTGCTTGGAGGGTGCTAGCTGGCCAAAACCATGACAGGAGGTGTGCTTGCTAATTCAGCAGGAGACATGATAATAGGCCTATGCCCTGGCCTGGATTAATTTACTCGTACATTCACATCCATTATATTTTCATGGATAAAACATTACATTCCAGATGGTGTTTTATTGTTTATTTATTGCATTTATTCTTTTATAGCTGAGATTTTGGTAGTCTTCCTCAAGTATCCCGATAGCCTACAAGATTTGCAGCAGTATGAAACTTCATCTGCAAATACCAGATAAAAATATTCTTACCCTTGTGGTATATAACTCATACTGATGCATAAAATATACTAAACCAAAACTATTTTATAACCCTAATAGTATTTAGCCCCACAAGAAACAGTATTTATTGCACGTTGTGAAATAAATCACAACAGATTGAACAAAGAGGGATCCTTATAAGATTATACTTCTTTTGAACTGTCTTTAATTTAGTGATCCAAAATTAACTAATGGAACAATACATGTTCATTTCAGGTTCTGGAGGTAATTAAGTGCATTATAGCTAATTTATCCTTTTTAAAAGATAACCTTTGATATAGCAGATGTTTATCCTTGATTACTTGTCATAATGAAAAGCAGATCCATTATTAATTGAATTGTTCTATAATAATATAAGGAATTAAATCACATAAATTCTTTAACGTGGCAGAAGTTAAAAGCCTTTAAATTCTTCACAAATTTGAAATCCACTACATTCTACTTTTATCATTAATAGTTTTGGCCCCGGTACAAGTAATAACTTTAGTGTGGGACTTTCTTTGAATTTAGTGAAAAATTTATGGTATTAAATAGGACTAATCAGAACCTCACAGTTATGCAGAAATGTGAGTGCTTTGCTAGATCAGAGCCTTTATAGGTCTTACAATGTCAATTGGGCTATTTTTAACTGAGTATTTTGTAGTGAGATCAGAGACACTGTAGACTCTGATTCCAAATGACTATAGCACAGATCCTAGTTGCCTCGCTCACATGGTGTAGTGATGTGTAAAAGAGTCTCACCATAAAATATAGCTTCAGGTAAACAGGCTCTTCGGGTAATATTTTAGGAAGAAAAAGAAATTTGTGTTGTTTTAATCACACATTTAAAAATATGGACTTAAAATGTAAGGTCCTACTCAGTCTAAAAGGATTTTTACCAACCATCTGGACCCTGCTGAAGTAAAATAGCAAAATAATACAGTGTGTGAACATATCTGGTCCTGACATGGGAGCAGTATTCATAGGAAAGGTACAAAGCATGTACAGCAATAAAATGGAACTGGTGCTGCTCCCTGATGATGTTCCCTGGTGCTGTTCCAGCGTGCCAATCCTGACGGAGAACAGCCAGGATGGCTCAGCCAGCGACGTGCAAACACCATTCTGGTCTAAAATGTGGCTATAGTCCTAGGGCTGCATGAATTTCTGCCATGTTACAAATCAGACCTCCCAGCCTTTAAGAGGGGGATCCTCAAGTAGTTTTATTCAGTGCACCACAGCTACGGCTTCAGTTCAGGTTCCTGCTCCTGCCACGAGAAGGTGATAAGTGCATGAACCATTTGTCTCTCTTACCCTAATCCTTCAAAAGGAATGACCCCCAATAAAACCAGCTGTCACCTTCACTTTCTTGTTTGCTAATTGGTTTTGTGCATTTCTGAAAACAAGAACAAGATCATAACATCTAGCCCAAACCTAGTCCCACAAAGCAATTGGGAATGCTGTCACTGACTTCAAAGTATAATGGCAAAATTGAACGTGGTTAACTGCAATAAATCCGCTGTCTTTGAGAGCCATAAGCCAATCAAGGAATGCAACTCAGAAGCCAAAGTTTTCAGTTTCTGTAGTGGTCTCTACCTTTCCCTTGTCTATTTTTGGAAAGCTGAGTTGGTTTAAGGCAAAGACTGTTGTCGCTGAATGCCTGGAGATGAAGAGGAAATATGACTCCAACAGGAGAAAGCTTCCAGAATAATCAATCCTGAAAACTCCTGGGACAGGAGAACTGGGACCTGTCTGCTCGGAGACTCAGATTTTGTGGTGTAGCTGAATATGGATTACTTTCTCAGAGGCACCTCTGCAATCCCAGGACAGGGATGCATGTCTTGAGGAGGCTTCCCGAGTCATTGAGTTCAGCCCCACTGCTGAAAGCCCCAGGTCATACTCTGCCTTTCCAACACCGGCTGATTTTCCCACTATTACTCAATTGTTACACAGCCTTGCTTCTCTCATGGCCAAACTGCTTAGAAAGATTCACACATTTCAGTAAAACAACTCAATGTACCAAGAAGGCACAGACATCCGCCTCTACTCTCAGCTGGTTTTAGATATACAAGAGAGCAAAACCTTGTTCTGCTACTTTAGTCCCCAAATGTGAGGGGTGGCACACAAGGAAAGGCTCTGATAGACACATTGTGCCATTTGCACATCCTTGCTTTTCAACCAGAATGACTATTTAAGTATTTTCCTCCAGCTTTGCATTGTTCCACCATTCACATCTTCAGTATACCACAAGTATGGTCAACACTCTTATTCCAAGGTGTGGTAGGTTTGTGTGTGGTGGGGTTTTGGTAGTGTGGGAGGGGGCTACAGAGGTGGCTCCTGTGAGAAGCTTCTTGAAGCTCCTCCAGCTCCAAGCCAGACCCACCTCTGGCCAAGGCTGAGCGAATTAGCCATGGTGGCTGTACCTCTATTATAGCATATTTAAGAATGGGAACTGGGAGGAGGAGTTGTGAGGGAAACACCTCTGCAAACACCAAAGTCAGTTGAAAAAATGAGGAGGAAGGGGGGTGTTGCCAGAGGAGAGACTCCTCTGAAGCCCGTGGTGACAGTCTGTCCTGCAGCTCATGGACCTCCACGGTGGAGCAGATGCCCACCCAAAGCCCATGGAGGACCCCACACCAGAGCAGGTGGCTGTGCCCAAAGAAGGCTGGGACTCTGAGGGAAGCCAGTGCTGAAGCAGTCTGTGGCTGGGAGGACTGCAGTCCATGGGAGAGACCCATGTTGGAGCAGTTTGTGAAGGACTCATGTCAGAGAAGTTCATGAAGGACTGTGTCCTGTGAGAGGAACCCCACGCTGGAGCAAGAGAAAATTAAGAGATCTACCCCTGAGGAGGAAGGAGCAGCAGACTCAACATCTGATGAACTGACAACAACCCCCATCCCCTGCGCTCCTAATCCCCTGTCCCATTGCAGGGAAGGAGGTAGAGAATTTGGGAGCAAAGCTGAGCCTGGGAAGAAGGGAAGGGTGGAGGGAAGGTGTTTTTAAGATGTGGTTGTATTTTCCCACTCTCCTACTCTGTTTGACTGGTAAATTAGTGGTGGGAGTGTTCAAATTGAATTGATGTTCTTTTTCTTCCCGAATCGAGTCTGTCTTTTTTACGTGACCTTAATGGGTCAATCATCCCTCCCTGTCCTCGTCTTGATCTCTGAGCCTTTTATTTTCTCCTACCCATCCCTGATGGGGGAGCAGCTGCATGGTGCTTAGTTGCCCTCTGGGCTTAAAACACCACACAAGGGTAGGGCTACCTGGAAGATACTGTAAGCAGGGTCAGTTGGAGTTTTTCATCTTTTCTTTTATCCCATGGTAAGTGGGAGATAGACACACTGGCATTCATCAAAAACAGGACAAATTGGGTAGGTGAGAAATTAAGTAACCCATCACTATATAAGAGATAAAACCCATGTACCATGCAGTACCATGCCTGGATAGCTGTGCCAAAACTATCAACTGTTTGCACCTTTGATGGCACCTGTCATAAACCCTATTTTTTTCAGAAAATGGAAATGTGGTCAGGAGCAGAGGTCTCATCAATTAGTGTATGCCCTGCGTGCCCAATTATGTGTAACATACATAATTTAATCTTGAGCATCACTGAGACAGTAGTAGAATCTTCCAGTTCAGTCTAAGGTGAACATTAAATGAGACTGCAGTACTCTCCAGGATGGCATACAGTAAACAGAGAGCTTTTTCAGATTCCCAGTGTCATAAATCCTTTCCCACTCAGTTGCCTGTATTGTATTTCTCTGCATATCTTGATGCAACAACTCTATTTCTCCAGGCTCAGTGAAATACAATTTAACGGAGCATACTCACAACCACTGAAGCCCTAAAATAGGAAGCAAAGATAGGAAGGCATAGGAAGCAAAGATAAGTCTGGTAGATTCATTTTCTTGGGAACTTATCAGCCATAGATAAGCACTTTGTTTTCTTGGCTCTTCCTGGCTTTTTTGTGACTACAAGCTGAGAAATATCTTGGCTGTTTCAGAGGCTTCAAATGAGAGAGAAATTGACATAAAAGAAAATCAGTGGGCTCAGCTACATTAACTAATATTTTGGCCACAATCTCCCATCAACTCTTTCTTTACAGGTAGAAGATATTATAAAAAGCCCTTATTGTAAACAACTCCTAACAGAGGAGAGCTTAATTTGCCTTCAACAGTTACAACAGTGAGGTCAGTCATTCTGTCAGACATCAATATGCTGTTAATTGTATCTGCCTTCCTTCCTTATAAACTTAAACCCTTTTGGCTGATTCCAGACCAACATATACAGAAAGGCAGGGGATGAGTACAACAGAAGGCTTTTTCACAAGAGAGGGCTCTCTGAAGCGGGGCAGGAAGCTGCTTGCTGACCCAGTGCAGGACAGCTGAAGAAGCTTGCTCATATCAGGTGTCCATGGATCCTGGCAGAAGCAGCCTCTGGCCACCAGGCTTTGTTATCTTGTGCACACTGTCCTCCTGCGGATCCAGTTTCCATGCTCGCACACACATGTGCCCAGGGGACATGGAGATGAGGGTCAGAGAAGCACACCCACCCTAGTGCAACAATGCATCCACAATGGATGACCTGGGACTGTCCTGGTGAGGGGGATCTGGTGGTTAGCAGATCCTAGATGGCACTGAAATTACTAGCCACTAATCTGGCTAGGAAATGGCTGGGAAAGGGAGATGAGTTGCAAGATGGTACTCTGTGTCTGCAAAATTTGCTTGCTCCGTATAAGGCAGACAGCACTTTGGAGTAGGAGAGGGGAGGCAGAGGACATTAATTAAAGATTACACTGATAATCTCTATTAAAGAACTCACATGTGTGTTCCCTACTCTCTTTTGCCCTTTTGGAAAGTTAAAGCCAAGATTGAGCAGGCAACATCATCCCCTCACATCCTGAAACGGAACCACCTCTCCTTCATTCAGCATCAGGGCAGGAAGAGCAGGAGGAGGATTGTGCAGGTTCCCAGGCAATATGGTGATGCCAGTTCCAGGATGAAACCTCCTCATCCCAAAAGGTGTGTCACCCTGGCAAGTTCTGTTATAGTGATTACTTCCAAAAGATGGCAGCAAGTTTTAACTAGATCTATTAAAAAGATTAAGGTTTTTTGTGACCTTTGCTAATTTGATATATACACGAAGGTCAGCAAGCTTCTGGTTTAATTCTTTCATCTTCCCCCTCGCTGCCTTAATTTTCTACATTTATTTCCTTTAGCATATAGACTGTATCACCACATATTGTCCTTCCAGCTAACGTAATACAAAGCATTTAATGCCAATAAAACTATGCTTGCATGCTCATACTAAAGGACTGAATGAACTTTGCATACAGGGAACCCTTCAGCCTTGAAAGGCATTTTGCTCTAGACTGGAAAAATGTAGCAATTTAACATCACGCAACTAAATTAGACAGTAGCTCTAGACAGAAAAGTAGTGAGCAACATTTTGTTCCACTGAAAATGTCATAGGAAAGGCAAAGAATGACTGCTCACTTGGAGTTTAGCAAGCATATGATCCTTAATTCTTATTATTCTTGCATAAATGCCTTTGCCAATTAAAAGCCCACAAGTGAGTAGGATGCTTCATTTTCCTGTTACAGATGGACCCTCCAGGAGCAGAGAATCCCTTTACCATTCTGCCTGGGAAACAGGATTGGTCACCAACTGACACAATAAAATAATGCACACAAGGAAAAGGAAAAACTATTTCCTGCCATCAAGCAAAGTCTTCCTTTTAATTTATGATATAATTTCATTTTTTTATTATGATTTAAACTTACGATTTTTAAAATTTAAGACGACAAGTGCCCAGATGGCTTGATTGCAGGTTAAAATCAAATTATATTTCGTTTGGGGTTTTGTGTGGGGCTGGGAAAAGGAAACTCTCAGAGCCATAAGGATACTTAGATTAATTCAGATAGGATCAAATGTTTGTATCATTTACATTTCCCAATGGATCTGAAGATTATAGAGTTATTTATATCAATGTAAAGCAAAGACATCATGACCTGGGATCAGACACAGAGCCTGTCAGTTGAATTTGCTCTTTAAAAGTAGGAGAAAAACAAGCAAGGAGAATGAATAAAATACTTACAAGCAGGAAGATACAGGGATGCAAACCAAACGTCCAACACGCAGGATGTGGTTAGTTGTCACACCCAAATCTAAAGGGACTGCATGCTGGGAAAAGCCCCTATAAAAAAGCAAATCATAGATGAAGAGTTTAGTAATAACTACATTAATAAAAAAGAGGGAAGAAAAGTGCTGATTTTTGACTGTTCTCAGCGCCAGAAATTTCAGAAAAAAACACCAACTGGAATCCTGGCATGTGTTTTATTTCTGCTAGCCACAGAGCCTTCTGCTGTCCAGTTACAGCACTGTATGTGCAATACAAAAAACATGCCTCTCTCTTGATCTCTGCGTTACAGCCATGCCTTGGTAACACCTTTCTCCTCTTCTTTTGCAGAATGCTCCAAGACCAAGACAGCCTGCTGTCCCCTGGCACTGCTTTAAGCGCTGGAGCACTGTATCTGCACTCATTCAGTTCACATTATCCCTAAAGACTCCTGCCAGAAATCAGGTCTTTCTGGATTACACATCATTATTTATTTATTTTATTTATTTCAGACAATTTGCAGTTTAAGTTCACTTACCTGAAAACCCCAAACCGAATACTGTATATGCACAAGGACAGCTAGCAGATTTTTGTGTGCTACATTCATTCAACTCCTAAAAATAAAACATTGCCCCTGAACTGTTTTTAATAAAGCAAATGAAATTGATTGTATATGAAGAAACAATCCCAGACGATGCACATTAAAGAAGAAGTAGGGCCACTTTCAAAAGGATCCTCCCCTCTAGGAAAGAAAAGACTCTTGCACAATCATTATACATCTCAGAGCTCCATCCTTTCAGCATATTTGGTTTGAACTGCATTAGAGAAGCAGATCTCTGGGGATGAATGTTAATGCATTATTGTGTTGCTTTCATCCCTTCAATCATTGAATCACTTATGGCTTAAGCCTGTCCAAGTTCAATAAAGAAAATTATCTAGTGCAACTGTTAAAAGTCAGCATTGTTGAAATCCAAATGTTTTGATAACATCGATTATATTAATGTTCCACCTCAAGGGAGCCAGACAGCTTCCTTACCACCTCCCAGTGCAGAAGGAGAGGTGGGAGGCTGCAGGTGAACCTCGAGGTTGGCTTCCTCAGGGATGGACTCAGCACACCCTCTGGATGTAAGCGCATGCACCCCATCACCTTGCCCAGCAGGCTGAGGCAGGTGGTGGTATGGGGATGGAGAGGGGGATGCAACAGCCCCTGTATACCTTTTCTCTGACAAATTGCCTCATGTAAGAAAGAGCTTGATCCTATGCCCCTCGGTTTTATCCGCTCGTAGCAGAGACCCTTTCAAAGGGAAAGCTGCTTTCAGAACAGCTCTCTTGGGGGAAAGAGGCACAGATCTCTGCAACAGGGACTGTATCTTCAAACAAGACTAATATAAATGATTTTGCTTCTTTTCCAGCTCTCTTTTGCCTCTGCAGGATTTTCTTTACCCCCTCTCCCCCCAGATACACAGAGCACTGCCCTTGCTGGTTTAGCCTTTCATTCAATACAACGCCTCAGTCCTCGGCAAGGCAAAGGGAAGGAGCCTACCAAATCCTGAGCTGATTAAACAAGCCAGAGATGCAGTGCAAAACACAACACATCCTCAAGGCTCTTTAAATGCGTACATTCATATTCAAATGGCAGGCGTACACAATGAGATGGAGAGGTCTGAGCTTTTAATTACCTTTGAAGAACACAAATATTTGGATCACAACATCAAGAAGCTTATCTACAGGAGAGCCCTTGGCATATACAGTTGTATCCTACAGTCCTTCATCCTTCTTGCACCAGTCTAAAGCCCTTCACAGCTATTTTCACAGTCTTGGCTGCAGCAGTAGCCCACAGCTGAGGCTCACACTGACTATGTTCTGGCACAACAATATTTGGCTCAAACACTGTATTCATTCCCATCGCCAATAAAATATGCAGGGATCAGGGATGTATCTGTTCCCTGTATCTCAGGATGTGAATGGGGAATGGAGATGCATCAGTGCACACCCAGGACTTCAGATGGGGAAATGGGGCCCTCCCTGGTCCTGCTTCCCATGGGAGCATGAGTCTGAATCTCACCCAAAGGACATGCAGTCACCAGGGAAATCAGTCTCTTGACTTGTCTGTGTTAGTTTGCTAAAAATATTAATTTCCTAGTTTTGCTGAAAATTTCCAGTGAAAAATTACAGGTTACTGAAAAAAAAAACAAAACAAACCAAAGCTCAAAAACCTGCTCTTTGTTGAGCTTAGTGACAGGACGTATTTGATTTCTCAGTGTCCAGTCTCAGATTTATTCCCTTTATTCTCACTCTGAATAACTTTTGTTTCTGTTGGCCACTTTTAGCCAAATTCAACCCCAGGCAGAAACCTCAAAGACAGTTGAGCTCCTAAAGTTTAATGACAGCAGATGATCAGGAAGAGGAGACATGAAGGTTCACACAGCCATTTGGTTCCTCCTAATACCTTTAGATCTCAGTAACTGACTTTTAGAAACACAGTCGCTAAGATGTCACTGCCAAAGTAGCAGACTGCTGGTGCCTGTGGGGAGGAAATAGGCTGGAAGGAGGTCCAGGGCAAGGTTAGCCAGGGAAGAGGAAGGAACCGGCAGGCATTGGGATTTCTTAATTCTGCATTTTGTGGAACGGCTTCTTGTTTCATTTCTTGAAATCCCAAATTCAAAAGTTTTGTTTGAAGAGAAAATTTATTGCTAGGTGGAACGGCTGCTTAATTAGAAATTTTTTAATTAGTACTTTTTCACGGGGCAAAAAGAAAGGATGGTTAAAAAAAAATTAAATTCAGATAAAATGCATTTTCCTCAGCAGAACAAGTATATGAAAATATTTCAGCTGCTTCTGTCTTGCCATCTCCTTTCATGGTTGAGTCATCCTGTTTCTGCTAACCCTCTTTGCAGAGGCTGCAAGCAGCTGTGCAGAGCATCCCACCAACACTGATAAGTTTCTCAGGAGAAGATGCCCCCCAGCATGTGTTGGGGGAAGGGGGTGGTGGGGTGTGTGTGCATGTGATAGAATTAATCTCAGAACAAACAGAAGTTAATTAAGATTTGTTAGCTCATGCCTGACTCTTAGCATGGGCTCCAAATAAACCTTTTGTATTTTGAGGCAAGCACACCCGTGCTGGGCTCCACGCTCGGGGGCAAACGGACGGTGCAGCAGAGGGCCGTGCACTGTGCTTGCTCTCCCTGAAGCCGTAGGGACTTCTCATGGGGCAGTGCTCCAGCTCCTCCACACCGTTTACTCAAGAGCAAAACCTACCACATAAAAATATCAAGCCCCAGCACAAGCAGTCCTTCTGATCAGAGCTTACTTTCATTCTCCATCACACTCACCTGTGAAGCTAACAATTTCCAGGGCTCAGACCCTCACATTCGGTATCCCTCCAGGTAAAGGGGCAAAAATCCTCAGACATATCAGGTGCTACCTCCTTCACCGACCAGGAAAACAGCTTTAGGACAAAATATGGCTAAATCTGGAAGTGAATGGATTCAAGGTCTCTATTGCCCCTTCAGTGGTGCAGCACAGCATCCTGCCTGATGCCAGACAAGGTGGCTGCACACACAAGCGTAGCCGAGAGCCTGCATCTCTCAGACTCCAAGGGGGCACATCCACGCCCATCTCGGGAGCACTCCCTGCAGACTTCAGTAAGGGGCTCTGCTGAACAGTAAGCAGCCCTTAATTTTGCTAGTCAATGGGGTCATTAGTCCTTAACTAATTAGGTTGTGACCCAGTTAAGTGGAGTCCAGAGTAGTAAGAAAACACTTTCTTAATGGTAAAATTCAGCTGACATTCTGGCTTCAATATATTTTATAAAAACAAAGTATGTGGTCCATATCAAACCCAAAGATGCCAAACAGATTTCATTTTAACCTCCTTAGAAATCCAGACCCAATATAAAGCTAGGACAGTATTTTGTACACTTGATACAACAGAAATCTGTTAATGTATCGTTTTGTTTCAGAATTTTGTCTCCCAAAAAAAGCAGATTCAATACCAAGTAGGTGCTATGAACTTAAATGTCAAGGGAATTTTGGGCACAGATGTGCTATCACAGTAACTCCTCTCACTGTAACTATGCTTCTCGACTCAGGTGCCCCAGTCTGCATTATCAAGAGACATAAGAAAACAGCCTTCTCCTTCAATCCTCTGTTTTCCCTCAATGGTATAACAGAAAAGATCTCCCTCCTCATGCCATTCCTTATTTTACCAGTGCAGGCTGCCTGCCCTCCCTTGACAGACTGTAGCATTATAATATCCGTATTTGTGTGCATAATATTTAACTATTGTCACTATTTGCAAAACAGTCTGCAATAACTTATGTAAAGATATAAGACTATTGCAAAGGGACTGGCAGTGAACCACGCTGTACCGTGTAGGCATAAGGGGGCAGGGTTGCACCTGGAATACCAAAAAGAGCAAGTGAGGATAAGATAGACTATGGAAGGAGAGCTTCTGCTGGTGCTAGAGAGTGATCTGTGCGGCATTGCCTCTCAGGTGTCCTAGCTTTAGAGGACACTGTTGTGCTCAAATCCAGAGCCAGACTAACTTCAGTGATGGGGATGGTGGCAGAATGACTGAGGGCTTGTCTCAGCATCTCACCAGACAGCTACCGAGGGCATCACAGTGAAAGCAAACGTGCTGGGACATATCAAGGAAATTAATGAAATGATGGACAAAACGCCTATATGAAGCTACAAGTAAGATCAAGGCCAAGCTCAGGAAAATACAAAGGTGATAGCTTGAGGGAGACAGATGCTGAGAGCACAGCCAGGGGGTACGTCTTGGTAAAGCAGGAGAGGTGGTACATCATGTACAGGGAGACTTATCGAGGGCACTTGAAAGTGAAGCCTGTGACTGACATGTCCAATGCAGGGGAGAAGGGGGAGCAGCAGAAGGACTGACAGAGGGGAGATGCAGCCGAAGCAGCAGGCTAAGAGGTGGGTTTTTGCAGCAGTGCTGTGGATCGACTATGCTGTAACAGGATTTCCTCTGCGCAAGCCAGGAAAAGGAGGTAACCGCAGTCATGAAGACACAAGGGGAGGAGTGGTTGCAAGACTGCAGGAGGTAGAGGTGAAAATGTCTTGACTTTTTAGTATTTAAATTCCATATCTCAAACCTATCAGAGACACCAGATTTTTCAGTAACTTCTGGATGTACTCTACCGTTGAGCTAATTCCCCTTCTGCTTCTGCATAGATGGGGCACCAGGAGGAAAACTGCACTGCTTCCTGCCTCTGATGGGGAATTTACAGAATACAATTTATAATTTACGCTGCACCAGTAAGACCCAATTATGAACCAAGCCACTTGGCAGACACAAGCTATCCAGTCAGCCTTTTACATCTGAAAAAGGTTAACAAAATGCAAACAGCAATAACTTCCTAAGCCACATATATTTATACACATACATTCACTTACTTGGTGATAGTACTAGAGTAGACTTGGATGCTGAACTAGCCCAGGACCCCTTCCCCACTAGTTCAAGGTCCTACAGCATTTCTCCCGTTGACAGCAATGTGCACATACTGGATATAGCAAGTAGCAGTCTGTGGGCAGGCAAGCCGGCAAGCCAGAGCAGAGGAAAGACCGGGAAACATGAGGAAGACAGGGGTGATGTGCCTGCCTCTCCTTCCCCCACCTTGGGTGGTGTGGATGACCCAGCCGGAGGAAGAGGTGGGGAAGGCAGGCAGTCAGTACCCAGCAACAACCAGCAGCAACCATCCCTAATGGGGACAAGCCCTTGTAGGCATTGTAGCAGAAAGGAGGCTGGTGGTTTCAGGTTGCCCGTTGTTTCAGTTTGTTCAGGCACAGAAAAGTCAGAGTAGGGTCAAAATGACTGCAAAAAGCAAAATCATAGTGAAACAGACATCAACCTTCCAGCTGGGTCCCTTATCAGAATAAAACTGCCAGCACTATGTACATCCTATATGGTCCAGATTTTATACATTTCTTCTATTCATCTTTCTCCCATTCTGGTGTAATCACCTGAGAATTAAATTTAATGATACTCAGTATGCATTCCTAATTGTTTTTGCTTATATAGGTGTTAATCAACGTGGCAAATGCTCAGCCCTTTACCACTATTTTCACAGTTTCCCTCTAACTAACTGTTTAGCATTTGCAAGGGTAGGAAGAGTTTTCTTCACTTGCTTTCTGTCCCAAACTTCATTACCTCCACTGAGATGATATTGTAACAGCCTGCAGCTTTTAGCTAGACATAAAGTGTTTGGAAAGGGCACGTTTTTGTGTATCCATCCTGTTTTCTTTTCCCACGTTGTGCTGTCTAAGCTCAGCTCTTCTCCCGGTATATTGTGCAGGCATTTTACAATTTATTTGCAGAGGGAGCAATTCCTTTCCTGTCATCTTCCTGCAAACAATGTGAAAGGGCACACGTGTGGCAATCTGCGCTTATACCCACAGAGCCAAGAATGTGCTTGCACAGTGATGACCCACCGCTCTGCACTATCACACTCCCGGTCTGCAGCATCCTTCAGAAATGGAAACCAACCTGTGCCTCCCTCCTCTCGGCATCCCTCCGTCCAGAGGCAGCGCACCCCCAGACGCTGTCCCCACGCTCTCCCAGAGCGCTCCCCTCTCCGCCTCCAGCAAAAACAATTTCCCCCAAACGAAGAAGCGGTCATTCAATTCCAGCACTTTGACAACCCACGAAGTCAGGACGGGCGAAACCGGGTTCTTTCCGAAACGCATTCGGGAACCCGCAAACACAGGAGGCCTAACACATACCTGGGTTAAACGCATATGAAAACCAAATGCCCTTGATTACGGCACACGGCAGACAAAACATTCGGCAGGCTCCCCCGGAGCAGCCGCGGCGAGGCAGGGAGGGCAGAGCCTGCTCCCGGGGCGCACCGCCGCCTCAAACCCTGCCGGGAGACCCGCCCGGCGCCGCACCGCGCAAACCGCCGCGGGACCGAGCGAAGGGGCAGCGGCT